TTTTGTTTCCTTTAATAAGTCTTCATTGTATTAATAATTTCATTTTATAAACTTGTTTTATTTGAATCCAATAAAATATTTTTTTGACTTTTGTAACAAGAAAATTATTGTATTGTTTTTATTTTTTTGGTTTTAGTAACTAAAAAAGTAAAATTATTTTGTGTTGTAACTTATTTTCTGGTTTTAATAACTGGAAAATTAATTTGTGTTTTGGTTTTAGTTTTGGTTTTTTCTGATTTTTGTAATAAGATATTATGGCTTCTGCAATTGAATGTAGTACTTTAAATCCAATTGTTACAGCAACTCTTGTCCTTACCCAAAACCATGTTCAAGTTCCAATAAGTCATGGAGAAAAATCGAAAAAATTTAATGGCATCGAGTTTAAGAGATGGCAGCAGAAAATGCTGTTCTATTTTACAACTCTCAATCTTGTCTGATTTTTCCATGAAGATGCTCCAGTGCTTAAAGAGAATGAAAGTGATCGGCAAGTTGTTGCCGCGGTGGATGCATGGAAGCATTGTAATTTTCTTTGCAGAAATTACATCCTCAATGTCCTAGACAACATGCTATATAATGCTTATAACCCTCTGAAAACAGCAAAATAATTATGGGATTCTTTGGAGAAAAATACAAGACAGAAGATGCTAGTACAAAAAAAATTGTTATTGGTAAATTTTTGAATTTTGTTATGATAGACCCCCAAACGGCAATTTCTCAAATTCAAAGTTTTCAATTAATTTTGCATGATATTCATGCTGAGGGTATGTCTCTTAGTGAGTTTCCAAGTCGCCGCATTAGTGGAAAAATTACCACCAACTTGGAAAGATTTTAAAAATTATTTAAAACATAAACGCAAATAGATGACCATTGATGAACGTATTGTAAGACTGAGAATTAAGGAACATAACTATAAGGCTGAAAAAAGGAATGGTAAAAATCCCATTGAGTCCAAGGCTAATGTAGTGGAACAAGTGCCCAAACCACATAACAAGAAAAGAAAGTTTGCTGGAGATGGTCTTAAGTAAGGCGACAATAATGGCAATAAAAAGTTCAAAGAAAAATGCTATAACTATGGCAAGACAGGACATTGTGCCTCTGATTGTCGTTGCCCTAAGAAAGATCGCGAAAGTACAAGTAAAAAGACCACCAATCAAACCAATGTGACGGAAGTCTATTACATTTTTGACAGGGTAAATGACATCAATCTCTTTGCTATGGTATCTGAGGCTAATTTGGTTGGAAATCTTAAAGAGTGGTGGGTCGACACAGGGGCAACTCGACACATTTGCGCGAACAGAAAGATGTTCACTACTTATAATGAGGCTGCAAATGGTGAACAACTATTCATGAAAAATTCATCTACTTCTGCTGTGACTGGACAAGGGAAAATTATTTTAAAGATGACATCGGGGAAGGAACTTACTCTCAACAACGTGTTGCATGTACCAGACATGTGGAAGAATTTAGTTTCCGATTCTTTGTTAAGTAAAAATGATTTTAGGCTTTATTTGAGTTTGATAAATTTGTATTAACAAAGAGTGGTATGTATGTTGGTAAGGGATACATAAGCGATGGTCTCTTTAAGTTGAATGTAATGACTATTGTATCAAAATCTATTATGAATAAGAATAACATATCTTTTGCTTATATTCTTGAGTCAAATTTATGACACGGTAGATTAGGACATGTGAATTTTGTGCACAACATGACATTATTCACCAAACTATAGCACCTTATTCTCCATAGCAAAATGAAATTGTTAAAAGGAAGAATAGAACCCTTAAAGAAATGATGAATGCCATGTTATTAAGTTCTAGCTTACCTCAGAATTTGTGGAGGGAAGCAATTTTGTCTGCTAATTATGTCCTCAATAAGATACCTCACAAGAAAATTAACAGCACTCCTTATGAATTATGGAAAGGTCGACTACATTTCTACAAATACTTAAAAGTGTGGGGGTGTTTGACAAAGGTAGAAGTTCAAAAAAGACTAAGATAGGACCAAATACAGTGAAGATTGACCAACAAATTATACTTGCACCCATTTTGTTGCTTCAAAATCATATTTTTACCTCTATTATTTTCTAAAATAACATTGAGAAGGGTACATATTATAATTGTTGAGAAGTGTTATTCAAGTTAAAAGATTAGGCTTACTTTTGAAACCCAATAATATAAAATATCATTGAGAAGGGTACCATTTGTAATTTTTCAATTAAATTTTTATATAATTTGATGATTGAAAAAATTTAATTAACATTTTGCAACGATTTGATTAATAGAAAAAATTGTTTGACAATTATTAAATGAGAAGGGTTCTTAAAATAGAAAAAACATATATATGATAGTATTCATGCCAACTTATCAATCTAAATTATCAAAATCTTTTGGGTAAATTATACTTGCACCCATTTTGTTGCTTTAAAATCATATTTTTACCTCTATTATTTTCTAAAATAACATTGAGAATGGTACATATTATAATTGTTGAGAAGTGTTATTCAAGTTAAAAAATTAGGCTTACTTTTCAAACTCAATGATATTGTACATATTATAGTTGTTGAGCAATGTTATTTAAACTAAAAAATTAGACTTACTTTTCAAATTCTACAATGTGACAATCTATTAAAGAAACTCTCTCTCTCTCTCTCCCTCTCTCTCTCTCTCATATTTTCTCTAATTATCAGTTAATCATATTTTTCATATTTTATTGTATTTAAAAAATAATTATATATATAATTTTTCATAATTGTTTTACCATCACACTAGGGTTTCATTTGAGAACAAAAGAAAAAAAGTTGCGTTTTGCAGCTTGGGCCAAAAAAGCCAAAATGATTTTTTTTGCCATCAAACTATTTGGCAAGGTAACTAAAAGTTACATGTGAAATTATAGTTATTCCTTCCATGATGTTTAAATGAGCCATATGGGTGAAATTGATTATTTTATACAATAGGGGATATTTTGATCATTTGATGATGATGTGACAACATAAATAAATATTAAGTAAAAAAGTCAAAAAAATAATTTTTTTTTTTGTTACAGGAAAATCCTCCCTATCCTCCCCTAGGTCCAAGGCACCGCCCCTTGCAGAGATCACCAGGGTGTCCTGTTAGCCGTTCCGAGTAAGGAGATTATAACCTGGGAACTTGCCCCGACCTCCCAAGACAGGCTCCGCTTAAATCAAGATTCGCACAGCAGGGGAGTATTGAACCCCCACCAAGTGTTGATTAGACAACTTGAGATCCAACCTTCTAACCAACTATGTTTCGCCCAGGAGATTAGCCCAAGGGAGAGGGGAATTGAACATGTGATATTGGGGCTTAAACCCCAAGCCTTAACCACAATGGCATCCACCATTGGGTAAAAAAAAAAAAAAAAGAAAAAAAATAAAATTTACCAACTTTTCAAATGACTTTTTGAAAAAGGCAAAAAACTTGATTAAAAATCAAAAGTCAACTTTTAATTATTTTTCCAAAACAACCTTCAAATGATATTAGCTGACAATAGATGTCTTTATAATTTCAGATAATAAAAGGAATGTAGTATTATTTACAGATTATAGAGGGATGTTGGTGTAATTTATCCAAAACTTTTCTATTGACAACACCGTCGTTACCCTTTTGATTTTTTTAATACTATTTTACCTAGTTAAAAAAAAGTAGTTTTTTGAGAAAATAGTTGATTTTTTTTAATTGATTTGATAATTATGAGAGAAAAAAATAAATGATTATGAATTATATGTAACAATTTATTTTATTAACTTTTTTAACCTAATTTGAAGAATAGGTTAAAAATTAATTTTTTAATTTTTTAAACTTTTTTTTAAATATATAAAAAAATAAAAAAATAATATAACTTAAAAAAATTAACTTTTAATCTAATTATCAAAATAGACTGCCTGTGTTTGGCAAGTGGATTTGCAGACTTTTTTGGCTATTTTAGTCACAAAAAACAAAATAGGCTATTTTATCCATAACAAACAAAACATCACATCCAACCCATAATCATTACATTCTTCTCTCACAAAAAAACTCAAAAAAGTCAAAAAGCCAAAAAGCCTTTCCCAAACCAAGCTTTTAAGCTCAGGCTAAAATAACCAAAAAAGCCAAAAAACTAAAAAGCCAACCCATTTTCCAAACGGAGGCTTTAATCCAAATAATCCTTCCCAAACAAAGTCTATTATTCTAGATAAGCATCAAAGAGAAGGAGAGAGAGAGGCCATGCTGGTGGTCAGTAGAAGCAGCTAAACCCCAGGAATTGTGATCCTCTCCTTCAATCCTCTTTTTGACTCCCTCATTGCAGTTCGGGCCCACTTTTAGACCTAATTTTGATAATCCGAACCGTTCATATTTTAAAATTTATTCAGTATATTATACCTGTAAAAAATCAAGTTGATCGGATATCAGAAAGTATGTGTTAGGAAAACTATTTATTAAAAAATAGTTTGTAGTTCGATTTTTCTAAACAGATACTTTCTGATATCCGATTAATTTAATTTTTTATAGGTATGGTATACTGAATAAATCTTAAAATATGAACGGTTCGAATTATTAAAATTGAGCCTAAAAATAAACCCAAAGACCCTGTAAGAAAGGAGTCAAGGAAAAAATTCAAGGAGAGAATCCTTGCTCACAGCCCGGGGGATGAACTTTCTAAAACGCAGTCTACACTCATGTGAACCCATCAACTTGCTTACTTGTGGCCCCCACCTCACATACATAGCCCACAGCTCATACATGATATACAACACATACACACTATAGTTATTCCTACTCAACACCCACACCCCCTTCCCCAATATTTTCTCTCTCTCTCTAACTATGAATCTTCCTAGCTCCTTACCATCTCTTGGGTTGACCCACCACACCCACATCTCCACATCTTCATTTACCAACATTACATACAACTTGTATTAGCAGACAACAAAAAAAATAATAAAATAAACAATTTTATCAAACAAACACAAAGGTAGACCCTATATATAGATATATGCCAGCCTTCCATCAAACCCAACTCAAACACCTCACCTCCTCTCTCCGCTCTCCTCTTTCCTCGTCATACATCTCTCTCAAAACAAAATTTCTCCTCCCTTTCTTTCTGTCGAAAAAAAAAAAAAAATGGATGGTAGCTACATAGATGAGAGCACAACAAGTGACTCTCTATCTCAATCAATTGAACCTTCATCGACATCGATTTTTCTGGCGTCAAAGTCGCCGGAAAGCCTATGTCGAGTCGGGAGCGGAACGAGCGTGGTCCTCGATGCAGAAGGCGGCGTCGAGGCCGAGTCTCGAAAGCTCCCGTCGTCAAAGTTCAAAGGGGTGGTCCCACAGCCTAACGGGCGGTGGGGAGCTCAAATCTACGAGAAGCACCAGCGAGTCTGGCTGGGCACTTTCAACGAGGAAGACGAAGCCGCCCGAGCCTACGACACGGCGGCGCAGCGATTCCGAGGCCGCGACGCGATTACTAACTTCAAATCATCGGTGTCGGACGAGGAAGAAGACGAGGCCGAGTCGGCGTTCCTGAATTCCCATTCCAAGGCCGAGATCGTCGACATGCTCCGAAAACATACTTACAGCGATGAGCTCGAGCAGAGTCGGCGAAACTACAACGTTTTGGGCAATGACAAGAGGGTTTGGAAAGACAAAACAACTGGGTATTCATTGGGTGGTTCTGATCGGACTGTTAAATCGACTCAGCAGCTCTTCGAAAAAGCGGTTACGCCTAGCGATGTCGGCAAGCTGAACCGACTCGTTATACCGAAACAGCACGCCGAAAAGCACTTTCCTCTGCAGAGTGGAAGCACTTCCAAAGGAGTGCTTCTGAATTTCAAGGATGTTGCTGGAAAGGTGTGGCGGTTTCGGTATTCGTATTGGAATAGTAGTCAAAGTTATGTGTTGACTAAAGGTTGGAGCCGATTTGTGAAGGAGAAGAGCTTGAAGGCCGGTGACATTGTCAGTTTTCACCGGTCAACCGGGTCGGACAAGCAGCTTTTCATTGACTGGAATACGAGAAACGGGTCGGCTTTTCCCGGGTTTTTTATCCCCGAAAACCCGGTTCAAATGGTCAGACTATTTGGAGTCAACATATTTAAGGTACCGGTTATTGGTGGCGGCTGCGGTGACGGTGATAGTGGTGGTTGTGGTGGGAAGAGAAGCAGGGAGATGGAGTTATTTGCATTAGAGTGTCGTAAGAAACAAAGGATAATTGGGGCTCTGTAACATTTTTTTGTTTTTGTTTTTGTTTTTTTGTTTTTGTTTTTGTTTTTGTTTTTAATGAATGTAAAGAGGGTGGGAAGGGAGGTGGAAGGTGGTGGTGTTGCAAGTTGCTAAAAAAAAAAAAAAAGTTGAATTGTAAATTAAGTTTAGAGAGAAAGGCTGAAGAGAGCTGAGCTTAGGTGGTACAAATGACAAAAAGACAAAATATAATATATATAATGCAAAAACTGTCAAATTTGTTATGTTCATGCCTACAACTGTTTTATTTATATATATATATATATATATATATCTCATGTTGTTAGGACTTATTGGCTAGGTTCAAAGCTTTATGATTTGGAGCGTTGTTGCTTTCCCAAATATCTGTATGTTGAAACAATGCCTCTTGTGATCGTAGGGGAGAGAGAAAAAAGTTTATACAAAATGGGGGTTGCTGCTAGGTCTGCGGTTCGGATGGGTAATTTTATTCACACACAAAAAGTTTTCTCCTTTCACACATTTAATGAAAAAAAAATAAATTTTAATTATATTTTTATCTTAAAATAAAAATACTAAAATATTATTTTATCATTCACATTTAAAATCTTAATTTTCAAGCTATCCAAAAATTTTACTCCTAATCAGTTGCCTCACCATCGCCAGCCTCCTCCCTTTACCGCTTGAGTAGGGGTATGAATTCAAAATTGGATTATAAGCAACCACTCCATTCGTGTATCAAGCATTACAGTTGATAACATGTCCTCATATCAATATAGAGAGGTGAGCTATTTTAATGTAGAAAAGGAACAAGTGCAATCAATGGTTAAAAGCCATTTAAAAAGCTTATCTAGAGAAATGGAGTTAGGTTTGTCAAGTTTGCAGGTTTTCTTTTTAACTGCATGCAGCAGTTTAGTCTTTCGGAATAAATTATATCAATTATGGTGCAATACAAGTGTGAACTCTCTAGTTGTATAGGCAATAGAAAGAATGGAAACAATGCGTCGTAGTATTTTGAGAAGGATTACGGCGGCGACTATGGTAGAGGTGGCGACAGTGACTAGCTAGGGTTAGAGATTAGAGTTAATGGTGGAAGGATGAAGATGAGGGTATTTCTGGTATAAAAGGTCGTGTACTAAGTGAAACATTTTTTTTTTCAAATTCGTTAAATGTGTGAACTGAGATATTATGTGTACAGAAATAAAATATTATGTAGAAATAAAATTTCTCAATTCGGATTGATTCGGATGGATTGAGATCTAAACAGATTTAATTTAAAATGTAGAGAATTTGTCTGAACAGACTTGACTTAAAATGTAGAGAATTTAAATTAATTATTGTAGATCAACAACAACTCTAATTACCCAGAATATTAACATTTTGAGTTGAATTTAAAATCTCATCATGATCAGAATATTTGGCCAAAAAATTTATTTAGAATATAAAAATATGGTATAGATTTGATTTAATGTGGTGCGAGTTATATTTAAAATAATATTTAATTAATATATTTTATTTGAGTAATTCCTAAAGTACTTTTAATATAAAGCAATTGTTTATTGCAAAAGTGGTATTTTTCCTTTCATTACCTTGATCATTACATTTTCATTCACTTTAGGCCTACCTAAAGTTTATTATTATTAGGGCTTAGTAAGGAATCCGTGAAATCCGTAATCCGATCCAGTCCAGTCCAATCCGATAGGTTTGGATTGGTTTTTTGAATCCGTGGTTCGGTTCCGGATTGAATAATTAAAAATCCGTAGTTCACGGATTGGTTCCGGATTGAATCCCACGGTTCCGGATTGGAACCGATCCGGACCGTATACAAATAGTCTATATTTTTATTATACAACCTCCCCCATAGTATCTTCTCTTATTCTATATAAAATCTAAACTCAAACCTAAAACCGTATAATATCTTCTTTTATTACTTTTGTTTGTTAGTTTTAAGTTTTAATTTGCAATGGTCTAAATACTTATGGTGAAACCAGTTTTCTTATGGTTGTTTAAATTCTAGAACAGTATGTCGTTATTATAGAAAAACATGTTGCTATTATGGAACTAATATAGCGCTATGTTTATATTTTTATGAAATTCAAGTGTTATATATATATTTTTGTTATTTAATTATGTGAATCCGTGGTCCTAAACCGATCCAATCCGTATTTAAATGGATTGGTTCGGATTGGTTCCATGATTTAAACGGATTGGATTGGTTCCAATTTTTCAGGAACCGTAGATAACGGATTGGTCCTGATTTTATCCCAATCCGATCCAATCCGGACTATGCTCATCCCTATACCTGAGATACCAAATTAAGAAACCATCATGCACTAAGTAGTTAAATAAATAATAAATAAAAAGTTGGCCTTTCTCAAATTTAAGTTTGAATTTGATTCTTATTTTAGTTAGTGGGATTTGAAAGGACTAAATAAGAGATGGGTCGGACCCAAGCCTTGGACTGGTCCAATCCCCTAAACCCAAATCCAAATGGGTCAGATAAGCATGCGGGCAACCCAACTAAGTCTAACTTCATTACCAACAGTCCATCCAAGTCCTCAAGCACTTGGGCCCAACTCGCAGTGGAAAGGCTAGTCCAGCTGCGATACTAGGCTAGGGCCGAGCTGCAAGACCCATTCTATGGGCCGAACTGATGGGTCAAACCCATCATCAGAACCAAAGTAGGCCGAATCCGTACACAAATATCCGAATGGGCCAGCCCATCCCAACAGTAGCCTCGCAAAGGGCCGAGCCGAGGCACAACAGTGCCAAGTAGAGGGAACCTCTCAAAGAAACGTGGAAGCTATGAGTATATGCATGTGCAAGTTGCCACCTCAGCTGGTCCCCTACACCTAGAATCACGGAAGCAGTTGAACTAGAGGAATGTGGTTTGTTATCAGCATGACTATAAGCACGTCTAGGCAACTACCGAATGGTCCCCCACCTGGGGCCATGCTAAAAGGAAGCTTGGCAGCACCAGAGCTCTATGAAACCATATTAGGAAACAAGCAAGGAACTCTATATATACTACAGAAACTTCACATTGAAGGTAACTGATCCAAACTGAACTCCACTTACAAAAAAAAAACTCAACTCTCTACACTTCTTCTCCGATCACTGATTCCCACACCGGAGGGGTTATCCGGCCAACCCCGGCCGGGTAGCTTTTATTGTGCTTCTTGCTACAGGAACCTCAATCCTTGGATAGTCCAACCGAGTGCGGAGCCCCGATCCACTTTCATCTAGTGTGGAATCCAGTACACACAATTGGTGCGGTGAGCGTGGATCACTTTGTCTCTGAGCTCTGCACTCAGGTCCGGCGATGGGGATTGAGGACAACCCACCTTTGACACATACTCCACAGACGAAGAAGACAAAGGAAAAAGGCTTGGCACTCCCAACAGTCCTAGAAGAACAATCTGGAAACAACCACCGAACCCCCGAATCCGTCGAGCATCAATTACCCTTCGCCGGAGGTTCTTCTCATCACTTTTTTCTGGAAAAGGATTGCAGAGATCGAATCATAGACTCCATGGGGATGGAGATACAGGAGCTGAAAGCGCAACTTAAAAGGGTGTTGGGTGATCCAACGGAAAAGAAGACTAAAGCAAAGCCCTCTCGCTTACGACGGAGGAGCTTATCCAGAGAACCACCAGTGAAGAAGTTCCCCAGAAATGAGTCTAGGCAGCGAAGCCAGCCAATCCCGATACAGAGTGAAGCGGCGAGCAGCCACTTCCGTGGGTCACGCCGGAGAAGGTCTAAGAGGCAGAAGACAGTTAGCCAACAGACTGAGTACCCTCCTCAAGACCTTCGTACTTGGCTGATTGGCAACAAGTAGAACGAACAACGTCAGGATCATCTAGACCGTACCATTCACCAGAGAGAACATCGAGCGCTGGATAGGCTTGTCTTCTCCCAATTCTCCCCGGAAATTGAGGCCATGAGACCCCCGAAGAAATTCACCCAGCCAAAGTTCACGTCGTACGATGGGAATCAGACCCATTAATGCATATTATTCATTATAGACAGATGATGTCTTTATGGAGCCGAGATGAGGCACTGATGTGCAAAGTCTTCCCGTCAAGCTTAGGAGAAACTGGACTTCGATGGTTCGATCGACTCCCCGCTGGATCAATTTATGACTGAAAAGCAGCTCTCCGAAGAGTTCTTAGCTAGGTTTGTCTCCAACACTAAGATCCCGAAAGAGTCGGATACACTATTCGGTCTCCGAAAGGAGCAGGAAGAAACGCTGCACAGTTATGCTAGAAGGTATTGGGAAGAGTACAATGACTTAGAAGAAAACGTTTGCAGTGAGCAGATGGCTATTATGTCCTTCAAATATGGTCTGTGCCCAGAAAGTAAGTTAAGACAGTCACTTACCAAGCGCCCGCCCACAGCATTGAAAGATTTACGTGCCAGGATCAAGCAGGACGCTCGCCTCGAGGATGACCAGATCCTCATCGAGGAAGCATCAACAGAACAAACAGCTCGGCACAAGAAGAGAACGGACCGAGGGAAACACCAAGGGCTCACAGTGAACGAGGTGGATAAGTCCAAATCTCACGAAGCAATCGTGACCGTATTTAAGGAACCCATCTATCGTATCCTAGAAAAGATCAAGAGGGAGCCCTTCTTTATTTGGTCGCCAAAAATGTTGGGAGATCCAGCTCGGCGTAATCAGAAGCTCAGATGCACCTATCACCAAGACAGGGGGCATATGATTCAGAACTGTAGACCACTGAAGCAACACTTGGAAGACCTAGTAGTAGCTAGGCACCTCCGGGATTACATTGATCAGGATAAAGCAGTGACCGAACCGGGGAACCCACCACCAGAACCGAACATTGAGCACCCACCTCGGCCGATAATAAATGTGATCCATGGAACAGCAACCCAAGAACGTAAAGAGGCACTGAAATAAGAGATTGCTAAGGCTGTGCAAATTCAGCAGGTCATGTCAGTAGAGCCCACGTCAAAAAAGGTACGCACAGCACCCAAATCCCCCTTGTACACTGTTTCATTTACTAGAAAGGATTTAGAAGGCATACAGCACCCACATACTGATGCACTGATTATAACTGTGAGAATTGGGAAATGGTTTGACGTAAAACGAGTCCTGGTAGATCAAGGCAGTGCAGCAGACATATTGTATTATGACTTGTTTAGAAAGCTTGGTCTCTCCGACCAGCACCTCACCCCAGCAGCAGCTCCATTAGTCAGCTTCAATTCACAGCCAGGATGGCCACTTGGCAGAATAGTGTTGCCAGTTGTG